GTATCACTACGGAAGTAGATTGCCCAACCTTCCTTCTGAGGAGTGGCTAGTGGGTTTGCACCACCACCCTTCTGGTTAGCAGTCAAGTGCCTTAGGCATTATGCTACCAGAGCTTGAAAACCCAAGGAGGGGTTGCTATGAGTCAAATCCGACTGGATAGCAGTGAGTTTGATTTGGTTTGGTTTAAACTGTAAGAGAGTAAGTTCCTGTTTGTTAAATCCATCCACTTGTGATATGTCTGTTATGGCACAACTAGAGAACCAAGACATTAGTTCTACATTTTAAAAGGAACTTTAAAATGGAGAATTGAGTCATAGTAGAAAAATTCAAATTTTTTTCTTTCACAAACATTAAATCAAGTTTAATTTGCTCCTTCACAGACCAGATTTTTTTTTTTTTTTAAAGTAAAATCATTGTGGTGGTTAAGTTGGTGTGTCAACTTGACTAAGCCTGGTTGATTGGCTGGCCAGCTTGATATAGTATTCCCCATGATGAGACTAGTAATCAACTCCATGGTGGAATGTACTGTGAGCAGCTGAGTAGCTGCCTTTAGGTATGTGGTCTGCTTCCTGTATATAAGAAACAACTTTGGGAATGGTTGCTAGCCTATGGCAAGCTTGAATCCTGTATGTAGCCATGTCATCATTCAGCAACCTACCATGCTCTACCGACCTTGGGACTTTCCATGGACTTGAATTAATGGCCTGCCATGTGGTTTGGTAACATCAGGACTGTGTCATTTTATTTGTCGACCTTGGGCTTGTTAGCTTCTGCAGCCAGTAGCTGCCTGAATGAAGAGCGGTCTCTAGCTTCAGTGGGCCAGGAGGAAGGGCAGAGCTGAAGCCCAAGGTCGTGGGGCTTTGACACAGCCCCTAGAGCCTGGCACTTTGAAGTCGAACTTAAAGCCTCCAAATTGTAGGAATAAACTCCTGTTTGTTAAAGCCATCCCATTTGTGGAATATTCCTATTGGAGCGGTACTAGGTAACCAGAACAATCATAATATTGAAATCAAAAACTAACAACCAAAAATCCATTGCCTTCCACTTGACTCTGATTCATAAATGTGGTATTTTAGAGGCAGCAGTAATAGGATACAAGTGAGTGGTAGCTAGTGGTCTAATGTGATTGAAATTTAAAAGTTAGCAATCTTAAGGAGTATTTAGGTTGAATATTCTGGAGACTTATTACTAATTTTTTCAGCAAATATTTATGGAGTTTCTACAGATGGCTTTATGGAATATCTGTTGCAATTAGTAGGAGCTGAGATACAGAAATAAAATGACACCAAGTTCTTGACCTCATGTAATTTACTTTCTAGTGGTGTGATCTAGACAACAAGTAAATACGTAATTGTTTAGGTGACAGTAAGCGCTAAGCAGAAAGTCGGGTGGAGAGTGACAGGAGAGAATGGGTGGTCTGCTAGTCTACAGAGGGTAGTCAGGGAATGCCTCTGATGAGGTGACAGTTGAGTACTGATGAAAATGAGGGACTAAGGCTATTAAGTAACTAACTAAATAAAAAGACATATGTATATATGCGTATGAATATGTGTATATATAGGAAATGTTGCTAGTTGCTTTTGAGTTCTTTTGATTCATGGTGATCCCATGTGTGCAGAGTAGAACTGCTCCATAGGGTTGTCAAGGCTCTGACCTTTCAGAAGCAGATCTCCAGGCCTGTTCCAAGATGCCTCTGGGTAGGTTTGAACAGCCAACCTTTCAGGCAGTAGTTGAGTATTTAACTATTTGCTTTACCCAGGGTTATATATATGACCTCAGGTGGTGTAGTGGATAAGGCATTTGGCTGCTAACCAGAAGGTCAGCAGTTCAAACCAACGAGCTGCTCTGTGGAAGGAAGATGGGGCAATCTACTTCTGTAAAGATTTACAGCCTTGGAAACCCAATGGG